AAATTTCAGGTGGCAGCCTTGTGGTCTTGAGTCCTGAAGCATATTCTGGCCCTTAGTCATGTGTATATGGTTGTACTGCACCAACATTTCAATTTAACAGAATTTTGGTCAGTAAGGTAAAACTATGCAAACCTAGATAGTGCTGTCGCAGTTCTCTGAGCAAGTAGGTGTGGGGACAGTGAATGCAGGACAGCTTGAATACTCTTACACTACAGATACTGCAGGTGACAGATCTCAGACTGGCGCCCTGGAGCACCACTTGCCCTCTAGTCCCAGATGATACTTGTTTCAATATTTGGAAATAAAAATTTGGTGCAGTCTGTAACAATAGTAAAATAATTTATCAGTGTGAGAAGTACCTGCGCTCATTTCACAGTTGGGTTTCTCCATGGTCAGTTATGACTACGATAACTAATAACAAATTATAATGTCATGTATAAAACCTGACAGACTGGGGAGAATTGATGGAGGCTGTAACCCCACTGAAGTCCCTCAGCTGTCTGGAAGATCTGTAATGCCAAATACATGCTCCTAGTTTGGGCGACGGGAGGACTCTCATAGTTTCACCAACATGGGCCTTTCAAGTTAGGGCCTCTGAAGTCCTGAAGCTGGTTAATCCCTCTCCCCATTCTGTTGAGCTCAGTTGAAGAGCATGGGCATGAGTTAAGACATTTGGCTGATGTAGGTTTGTTTAGTTGGGGTTTTTTTATGCCATCCCTTTGACTATTGGGGAAAAAAAGAATCTTCTCAAAGATAAATTTCCTACAATTTTGCTCAAGAGTTAGCGAGACATGATGATTTTGTCGATGATGTTTTGATCTGATGACCAAACAGGTCCTAAATCAGTCTCCAGTTGTGCAAATATGTATGCACCTCGAATTCTGTGTTCAGTTTTGGGCCCCTCACTCCAAGAAGGACATTGAGGTGCTGGAGTGTGTCCAGAGAAGGGCAGCGAAGCTGGGGAAGGGCCTGGAGCACAAGTCTGGTGAGGAGCGGCAGACGTTGTTTAGCCCGGAGAAGAGGAGGCTGAGGGGAGACCTCATCGCGCTCTACAACTACCTGGAAGGAGGTTGTAGCGAGGTGGGGGTTGGTCTCTTCTCCCAAGTAACTAGCGACAGGATGAGAGGAAACGGCCTCAAGTTGCACCAGGGGAGGTTTAGACTGGACATAGGAAAAACGTCTTTACTGAAGGAGTGGTCAGGCCTTGGAACAGGCTGCCCAGGGAAGTGGTGGAGTCACCATCCCTGGAGGTATTTAAAAGATGGGTGGATGAGGCGCTTAGGGACAATGGTTTAGTGGTGGACTTGGCAGTGCTAGGTTAACGGTTGGACTTGATGATCTTAAAGGTCTTTTCCAACCTTGATGATTCTATGATTCTATGTGCCAAAGCATTATTCCGCCAATTATCTCTATTTTACAGGGCTAAAAGTTTCTGCCATTTGCCAGAGCAACAGAAGTGTGCAGGTTGTTGAAAATGGAATTCACTTTGGAAATTGCTAGCCTTCAGCAAAATGAACTGGAAAAATGCTTGTAGATACAGGGAACGCCAGAGGATGTGGGGTTTTTTGTGTTAGAGATCGAGATCGCTTCCTGGCAGTGGGCCAGCCATAGTACATTTGTTTTATCACAGTGTGTGAATATCTAATAATTTTAAGTACACTAAAAGCTTCAGTTTGTCTAATGTTTCAGC